TTTATTTGCTTTATTAGTTTAGGATCAATATAGATTACATATAAACCATCTCTTTTGATATCACCACACTTTGAATTTAATAGTAGCTATTGAACTACAAATTAGACCTTATTCTTCGTGGAAACGATACTTTTAACTCACAAATCTTATTACTTGTACAACGATCCCGTACGCTTGCGGGTTTCACGCGAACATCAATCAAGTTAAATAGCCTTAGCACTTGAATACAAAATTATGCATACATAACAAAGAATATCTACAAACGCGACGAAAATGTAACTTTTTCCTATATATGGTATTTACCTATATTCTGCTTACTACAAAATTGGCTGCATATCAGGTTTCTCAGAACTTTCAGCTCCACTTTTTGGCAACATTTCAGCCACAAAGTGAGCATGCAACAAACCTTCATAATAAACTTGCCCATGTAAATTTACTTGTTTATCCTCTTTATCACTTGTACTTTTTGTCTTATAAACAGCTGTCTTGCATAGAAAACTAAAGCCAAAACTAAAGAGAAGGCCAAACCAACAATTCCACTAAATGGTTGAAAAGGGTGGCCACCAGTCAACCATAGAGGAAAATTGGGATAATAGTTCAGAAAGCCACCCATTTTCAAGATGAAACTGGTAGCTAGTATCCCAGCACGAATACCGATTGGAAGAGAGAGGCTACCTTGGTTTCTTTGCCGAGCTCCAGACAAACTGAGGGATAGTAACCATAACCCAGGTATTTCCCATAATGACCTATGAATCATGTCAATTGCGACATAAGAAGAAAAAGAGAGAGCATTAAGGAGAATGTAATAATATCTCTAGACGCAAAAACAGAGAACATAAATCAGGTACACTATTAAGAGAGGCGCTGTTCGTGCATATGCTGGTTGCCAGTGTAGTTTTATTATTTATCAGGGAGAGATATTTTCTAAATATAGCTCTTGAGCCTAGGACTTGGAGCAAGTGTACGAACATGCATAACATGCATTTTAGAGTAGATAAAAAGCATATACATTTCTAAAAATCAAACACAGAAAAATGTGAAATAATAAAAAGAGAGAAACCAAAAGCAAATTATGGGAAAGTATACCTTTGAAATAAAGAAAATGCAAGTCCTGAAATAACTATTCCACGATGATATCCAAGGTCAGCAGCAATTTCCTGAGGTAGCCAAGATCTAAAGAGAAATTCCTCTGAAATTGCAACACCAATTGCAGTTGCAAGTCCTTGAACAAAAAGCATGAGCATCCGGCCATATACTCTAACCAATGTTACTGGATCTGAAGATGATAAAGAGAGAGTAGCTGGCCAACACAGTCGAACACAGCCAATTGCGGAATTCACCGACTGTATCAGGAAAACAAGCACGGCTCCTCCACCCAAACCCATCAGAAAATTCTTGAACTACAACGAAAGTTACCAACATGCATACTTTGTTAGAGCTATGGAATGCAATCAAATGTGAATTAACTTCATAGATTTAACCGGGGAAAGGGAGGTGGCAGGGTGTTGCTTGCCCCTTCTTCCTACCGTGTTTATAGTTTTTACTTGTATTATGACTCGTTAAAACTCAGTGTCTCCCCTAGGAATTTGATACCATTATTTTGTTAAAAAGTGGGCAGTTTGCCACCTTTCCAACTCACTGAATCTTTACTGCTGCTCTCTATCATAATTACTAGAGATTATGAACAAATAAAATATTTCTTGGAATAATCTTTTGATTGCATTATATTTTCTTCTCTAACCCTTTAATTAAGGAAGACAATTATTTGTTCTACCTTTCTTTTCCAAAAATTCTCCAACAGAAGATATATAAAATCAACGCAAAGTCCAGATGACATGCTAGGATATGCATATGTTCCTATATAGATTATTTTGTATCAATTATCAAACCGCTTATGTTCTTTCATAGGCAAAATTAAAGTTTCTTCCACAAATGAAAGGATTATTTTTCAGTTATGTGCTCTCCTCTCCTCTAGTTCGAAATCCTGGCTCTTCAACTTCTGTGGACGACTGCCAGGTAGTGACGGCGATAAATAATTGCTAATTATCAGGTTTTAATGTAAGGACCTATATAGATTTTATAGAAAGAGTTTTTCTACCCCTTCTGACCACGAGAATAAAGCAACAGGATGTTTAGGATTTCTATGAACTCAGAACTTCACTAGCCAACTAAGCACTCATACACTCAAATTATATATCTCCACATGCTTCAAGAATAGGAAAAGGTCTGTGATGTTGACGCATCTCATTCAAGGAGGTATATTTAAAATCCTTCAATCAACACCATGCACTACCCTTTGTATTGGACAATATTTGACATATCAAATAATTTTTGGATCATATGATTAAATAGTTAACATCCGTACCTCATTTATTGAAGTCCAATCCATTCCATATTGCTTCAGTGGATCGTCATACTTGCGAATTCTTTTTCCCCATATAGTAATCATTATCAAGATAGAAACATAGAGTCCAGCAATGCAAGCAAGCTCAGCAATTTTGAAGGGACTGCGTGTTGCCCAGCTTTGCATCAGGGATGGAAGCAATGGAATTACCAAAGGTGACCACAGAAGAAGCACCATCAAGACGAAGCCAAGGATCCTAGAGGTAATAACAGGATGAAGAAAAGAACTTAATTACCTATCAGGGAACCAGTTCTTGTAAATTAAAAATAAATAGAGAAAAGAGATTAACTACATTATCTGTAGCATCAGCTGTCATTACGGGCTAATTATGTAGTCATAAAAGCTGTGTGTGTGAATAGATCACCAGATGCACTTGCTAATTGCTATTATGGTCTTCTTTCAAGGTGGCAGTGTAACAGTCTGATAATCATGTGTTTTCAATTAAACAAGTATGATTTTACCAGAGATATATGCAACTACAGATAGCAAGAAAAATTGTCACCAGTTGACCCTTGAAAATAAAAATCAGTTGTAAAGAAAAGCTTTCCTCAATTGACTAATCAAACTTCTGTTTAGCTATTAAGGATTTTGCCTTTTAACCATGACATTGTGCACAAAGATTGGCATATTTGAATTCTTTTTCAGACATAAAATTGCTATAGAAAATTTTCTTTGACAATATCAGGCTACAAGACACAACAGAATTTTTTTACATCTGAAAAGGCTTTAGTATGATTAATAAATAAAAATTCTTGATTAGATGTCGGGCTTCATCAGCTAAAGATGACATAATCCAAGGTTCTTAGGGAAATTCCTTACTCCTATTTTAGAATTGACAGCAATATTCTATCATTGCACACAGGCAATAATTTATCCTTTACACACATAGATGAACTTAACAATTTACTTACCTCAGGATCAGTGGACGTTCAGCAATGCGCAGAAATGTGATGAGCTTGTCAGTCAAACTCATGGCACCACGTATACCACCCCACAACAAAGCAACTTTTCCAACCAGTTTCAAAATGCCCCCCTTCTGTCCCATTTCTGCCAACATCGCTACCAACCTGTTCACAGAGTATTAAGTTAAGCAGCCTCTCAAAAAAGAAAAGAAACTCGAATAAAAAGAAAGAAAGAGTATGGAAAAATAAAAAATATCTGACCTTTCATGATCTACTTCCCCATTCTCTTTTGTTGGTACCACAGGACTAGCAACAGACATTGCTTTCTCAGCAAGGCTCGTGACTATGTTATTCTGAGTTTTCGCATCAATTTCCTCCTCAAGTTTGGAGAGCTCTTGGCTGCCTTCATTCTCTTTGAAGGACCCAGTTGAAGTTTCGGCAGTTTCAGTATTCTACAAGCACATTGATCTAAAGTTTTAAGGCACTAAAAACAACAAAAGAGAAGGTATATATATTTTCACACCATGTGCAACATGCATACGTTTGATGTATTGACTCGTGGTGAACAAATCATATACATGCATGATCAAATCCGCTCCTCAATTAAGATAGGAATGATATAAACTCTGTTGTTTTCGGCTAAGGTATGAACCAACCCAAGTTTGAATAGTGAAGGTAGAAAAACACATGAAACATTGTACTACCGTAAAAAGATTTTTGAGTGAGTTAGTTTCTAATTCCTTTTTTATATTAGCTGCATTTGAAGCATCATTTAAGAAAATACAGTATTAGCGAGATTTTGACCTAATAAAGCTTTAGAAAATGTGAGACGAATTTCAATTTCACTTGTAAGCTAGTCGAAATGGCACTGAAAATCTGATGGATTGAATTGAAAGAAACAGTGCTTACCTGTTGGTGAACAAGTTGAATTGAAAGAAACAGTGCTTACCTGTTGGTGAACAAGTAAAGCAGATGCCCCGAGAGCAGCTGTAACAGCACCAACCATCACTTTGTTGTCTGTATTTTTAAATCCCACACTCTCTGTACCTTTGCTAACTGAAATGTCCAAATCATAATCCTGATCAATATTCTTTGAAAGCCTTTCATTAATCTCCTTGTCACCTTCTTGAGCTTGATTGTCGCTTGTTTCACTGACTCGTTCAAGGCCTACGTCGTCATTGCCATTACAATCCACTGAAGTTACATCATAGAATTTCCTCACTGCAGCCAAACTGGAGCCTACAATAACCCCAACAGGCAGTACTCTGCTTAAATATACAGTCTCCTGCATAGCAGATGAAATAGATTGTACTATATTCTCCCCACAAAGGGTGTTGGATATCTCCAAAGTATTGTCATGACCTTTACCATGTCCCACAGCCAGAGATACAGCATTTGCAACATGCTCTACATCTCTGGCAAGCTTAGGCTCCAATTCCTTCATGTCAGCAGCACCGATCCTACGATTAACTTCAACGTTTAAAGATTCCAATATAATACTTTTAATGAAAATTATAGACTTATCAAATTTGTTCCCGTCAATTTCAATATTGTCATCGACTTTATTTGTTTTCCTGCAATCTTCATCTTGTTCATATTGTTTTTCAGCATCCAATATTGTGTACCACGGTTCAATGATATCATCAGTATCCTTCTGTCTTGAATTAATATCCATCCGATTTTCTGTATTATCACCTTGATGGGAAGTAAATTCACCAACAAAAGCACCATTATCTTCTGCTTGATCCAAAAGCTTCCACTGACCTTCTTCTGGGATGTAGTAAAGATATAAAGGAGATGACGTATCCAGAGATGGTGGCATGCTATTCCTCACCTTTGACATAAGGTATGTCTTAAGGTATTCCTTGTATAAAGGATCTCCATATGGAAAAGCAGTTAAATAACTGGGAACCTCTTGTGGACTGCCATTCAAATATTTATTAATATTCGTAGACGAAAGTTCTGTACCAGTGTAGAGAAGACTGCTTGCTTTATCTTTACCAAACTGGCTCTCTGTGTTATTTGACCAGGAACTATCACTATGATGTCCATCAAATTTAATATGTTGTTTATTTCTTTCCTCAGAGTCTGGTGGATCATAGGAATGAACATCATTTAAACTACCAGAAGATATGCTCAACTCATTCTTGCTATTTTCCATCTTCTCCGATTTGTGGTCATCATTCTCACAAGGATTCTCCGAAACAGACCCTTCCTTCAGGTCCTTGACCTCATTTTCACCGTCTTTTTCCACCTCCAATTGATCAATCATGTCCTCAATTACATTAAATACACTATTAACTGCAACTTGAGTGGAATCATCAAACCCTGTTAAGGCATCGAATGCCTCATAAACACTGAAGCTTGGGGGACCATCTGTATTTTGACTTGAAACATGCTGTCCACCTTTCTCTTCCTCTTTCTGATTATTTTCCACATCTTTTTCTGTCAGTTGATTCTCGGAAATGGAAGATGGTGCTGATGATTTATCGTCTGTTGGACTGGGGATATTTTGATTTGAAACATGCTGTCCACCTTTCTCTTCCTCTTTCTGATTATTTTCCACATCTTTTTCTGTCAGTTGATTCTCAGAAATGGAAGATAGAGCTGAGGATTTATCCGCTGTTGGACTGGATTCCCCCACCTTATGTTGATCAGTCGGAAGATCAATTTTCTGTTTATTGTTCTCCTCCTCCTCCAGGTCTGATTGATTTTTAATGCCGTCTTTTTGTAGTTTCTTCTGCTCTGAAACAATTTCCTCAGTGCTACCAGGCCCTTCATACTGATTGGATAACTCGGGACTATCACTTGTTTCCCGAGTATTCTCATCATCAGAGGATTTCACAGCATTTACTTGGGAGAATTGTGTATTTTCGTGATCATTCCCCACGTCATTCATCTCCACTTTCTCTGAGCCTGGATCATCATGTGTGTTAGTACTTGTAGGTCGAAATTGACCTGTGTCAATGGGTTTCTGTGAATTCGCCGACGACTGAAATTCTGATTCCAAAACTCCTGGAGGCTTGTCTGAGCTATGGAGGACTTTACCAGAACCATCACCGAAATGATTTATTTCCTTATGCTGATCGGGAAATTGACCATCATCACCTCCTTTTGCAATTCTAATTTTTTCTAGTACTTCCGAGTTTAATCCTGCTGCCACGTCAGATATGTTTCCCAAACTTAAAAGCCTCTCAAATTTTAGATTAGACCCTTGACTCTGCAAAATTCCAGAAACAGCAGTTGTAAGCTTTTCGCGGACATCTTCAGGCACAGCATCTTGCAAAGCTTTCATCAATGTCTCCCCTTGACCCACAGCATTCAGGACCTGAACATGGTTACCAAATAATTATTAGCAATTGATGAATAACAAAGATCAAATATCATCTTCCTAGATATCTATATTCTTAAACAATTCTACATGCAACCTTTTTCTCAGAGATTTAAGGGCTACCTGGTATTACAAGGGGGAGAGTGAGGAGATGGTGATGTATTCCTAAAATTGATCAAAGTAAAACTTAATTTTAACCACACATATCATAGGATCCACAACTAGTACCCACTTATTCACCACTCATTTTTATTAGTTAATAATTTCAGAAACTTATAATTCTCCCAAATAAGCACTTAAAAGTGTTTCAGCCTGGTATTACATCCAAGAATGTGAGAATATAGTGAAAGTATTACTGTAATAAGTTAGGGTGTTTCAATCTAATTAGCCGAATCTTGTCAAGTCCAATAGGATGGATTGGAAACTATGGTTAGGAAGGATTAGTAACCCCTAACATTTTCCTTCTCTACCAAACAACATGTAAAGGTCCCATCCCTGCCCCAATCTTTCCAGCAACAGTTCAACTGAATGGAACCGTAGATCAAATAATCAATTAGTCGTTTGTTCGTCCACACTTGCCAGGCTCCTATTGGTGCAACTCGGTATGAGTATAAGATACTAATTCAATGCAGATAATCTACATATACTCTCCATACAAACACCAGAATGGTGCTAGCAGTTAATTCCATCACACAGAGAGCCTACAAACTAGTCAGACGCAGAATTATGCGTGATTGTAAAAAAAATACCAATTCATGACAATTACCTTCTTTCTCTGTTCTTCTGACAAAGTGCCCGGAATATTCACATCAACCATATTAATAACCATTCCTGCAGTCTGTAGCACCTGGCCTCTTTCATCATCAACAGGATTTGTTCCATCTTCTATTAATTCAGCATTAAAAACACTGCTTTGGTTCTCTAAACCATTACTCTCTTGTTTCAATCTTTTCATATTGAGTTCAGGTCCTCTTGAATTTTGTCTAGATTTTGATTGGATGCCAGCTGTAATATTGTTTTCTTCAAGAGTCTCTAATATAAGGTTGAGGGAGTGGCTGTCTATTCTGTCTGTATTAGGAAGATTCAAGCGCTTCTCTATTCTATCACTCTTACCAAAAGATCTACCTCCTGCCAATGATAAACCCTTTGAAGGATTTATAGCGATATCAACATCTTTCAGAAGTGGATGGCGACCTTTCAAAAGTCCAAGCTCCACAGCTGTGAGCCACTGTATACAAGCATTTTGGCAATCGTATGATGAAGACGCATCGTAGGAAACTAGACTTTTATATATCAGATATATATATATGGTAATTATAGTTACCTCAATAATAAGGTGATGGCCCCAAGAGAACGTTGACCTTCCATTCGTAGTTTTACTAAATGGTGAGTAAGAACACAGCAGAAGGCTGGTATAAGGATTCTCTGCAATCAAATTTCGTGGAATGGAGAACAGAGGAACTGTCCCATCATCATTCTGGAAATAAAACTACAATGATTAATATATCATACCAAAATGATATCAAACACATTAGACCAGTAACAGTTAGAGAGAGGGTGGTCCTATAAGCAAAATGACTAACAGTAGATAATGATACAGATATCACCAGCAAAATAAACTTGTATGTAAGGAACAGAAACAGCAAATGAAACAGGCAAACTAGTATTGGAACTGTTAAGAAGTAACAAAATCCTTTAAAGAGCCAATGGAAATTTAATTACTTACGCAAATGGTAGACATCTAGTGAAGAAAGGTTAAATGGAATGAAGATCTCTGCTTGTAACTAATACTTAATATTTAGATTTGGCAGAAGAACTACAAATGGCATTCACTAACTCAAGAAACATTACCAATAACACGTGAATATATAGGCTACTTGAGCATGAAAGCAGCATATAATCAAAGAAATCAAATAAGACCTGTATAAAAAGAACAGGAATCTTCACTTTGCCAACTACATCTCGCGTGCTAGATTTTGCATAAAAATCTTCAATGGAGTCAAATCCATACGACACCATGGATACTGCTTTTTCAAAATCTCGAATGGATGAGGCAGACAAAGCTCTGTCAACATCAAATCCTTTTCCACGACCTTGAAATAATTCCTGAAAGTCATAGTTACAGAATGCACATCAAGTACTGAATGGTCAATCATTTCATGCCATATCACATTAATTTTTCTCCGTTTAGGACTAGACGTGATCAACGTGCCACCCACATCGTTCCTTCTTTTTTTTTTTTTTTGAAGTCCTGTAAAAATGTTACTTTAGATATTGGATCAAAGCAACGAATACAACAAAAATGTAACAAATAATAAAAAATTACAATTTCATGCATCAAGTATTGCTTTCTATTTTCACGGTGTCTAGTGTCCTACAAAAACATCAATAGAAAGCTAGGGAAGTTTGTACAGCATTTAATTCATCAACAATCACTAAGAAAGTAAGAGAAATGAAAAAAAAAAATGATCTATGCATAATATCTAACGCCCACAATTAACTACTAAGCAATAAGCTAAGCATGGCACATCAATTCGTTGGTGGATAGCAAATTTAATTTAATTATTGAGACCCACAATTAACTAATCCACCAATGGATTGATGTGTGCATTTTTATAGAAGGTGAATTAAGTTTAAACGTGTATTGAAGAATTATGAAAGGACTTATTATCATAAATGGATACATTGAATATAAAGTTGGCATTTAGAACAAAATGAAATGAAGAGTTTAATTAACGTATAAAGGGTACTATTGAAATATCATAAATATAGGTTGGATAAAATCGTCTATAAATGATTTTCATCTCATGGGACTCTTAATAGATTATACATTACAAATATAGATATAGATATAGCTTAAACATCTAGCATAACATGCTCAGATGGATCTTTTTTAAAAACAAAAATAAAGCGTAAGAGCTTGTGTATATGAATAAAAACCTTGTTTCTATGCAGTATACTTATCAACCCGCTCGTGAAACTCTGATCAAAATCAACGTGATGCATGGAGATCCTTGTAGCCTCCTCTAAGTCAAAAGGATTGTCTATGCATGTCGCAGCTGTAAGAGGCGTGTTCTCTCCAACTTCTGCCAAGTACTTCGTCAACATATTAGCACCATAACCCCAACCAACGCCCATAAATGTTGTCCATGGCCTTGCTTTGTTGATGTACTGTATAGCTGTGGAGACATCATCACTGTCAGCAGCTGTAAATAACCTACATAAACGAAGTAGTGCGCTACTATCAGCTTGTTTTGCCAGTCCAGGAATGAAAGAATCTTCTCAATTAGGAACCTGAACATGAAGCTCAATGATCAACATTTTTCTTCTCCTTTTTATTTTACCTGATTGCACCCGTCAAATGTAACTAGTTCACCTACTCAAAATAACTTAGGTTTCTATTGTTACTCGGAAAGAAAAAAAATTCCTTTCAAAAATGCACTTTCAAGTCAATTAGAACTACTCAGACAACTTTGTTCACCAAGCCAGGGAAGTTGTAGAAAATTTACAGTACAAAACCAGATATTGAACTTGAGAACTTATAAGACGTGCATACATCGTAATTTTATAACATAAGTTTTCTACTAACTCATACGGGCATTGAATATAATGCATATTTCATATTTGAGCCATGATTCAGTCTACCAAATTATAAACCACAGGCTGCCATCAGTGAGAAAGCAAAATTGAATATCTAAGGCCTTGTTTGGTGGCCATTTTTTTTTTTTGGAAAAACATTGTTTTGAATAGTGAATTTTTGGAGAACGTGTGGTTAAAAAGTAGGGAAAATTTTGGATTTACGTGTAGAATATTTTATTGTGTGAATATGTAGTTAAAGATAAGTACGTAAGAAAAGAGTTTTGAAATAATGAGAGACAAACGGGGGCTAAATCTGTAATGTCCTATTATTACCAAAAGACAACCATCATTAGAATGCTACCAAAATAATTTGTAAATTAAGATAGGACGCTGAAGGAAAAAGAATCTGCCAAATAGATCTGGATCCAATCCTGAATTATAATAGAACGCTTGATGGCCAACTCAAATTACTAACTACTTATTGACAGAAATTTCCTGGTTTTTCTCATCTAATTAGATTAAAATGATTAGGTCACAGAAACTAAACTTCTGTGTTAATTAAGACAATGATTAGGCTTGATCTACTCAATGTTTCGTTGTTCATGAGTAGTCACTAGAATAAGCTAATATGGATGTATTGTTAAGCTTGTACGCTAAAGGTGGCTTGAGCTTTATTAACAAACTAATTAAGTCTACCAAAAATTGGCCATTGAACAAGTTGCTCAAGCTTGGATCAAAAAGTAAGATCTAAAATCAAGCTCAACAGACTAGTATACTAATAAAGCTCATTCTCAACCCAATGCTCAATCTTAATGAGCAAATTGTACTCCGTCACATGGAGTTAAAGCATTTTTGCAATGTGCACAACAGAATTAGAAAGTGAAGAATTTCAACTAAACTAACCGTGCAGTGGTCAATGGTGATCCTGCACATCCCCTTGGATTCATTACAACTGGAAAAAGTCCGGTCTTCAAACACTCGTACACAAACTCCCTAATTTTCCTTTCATTGCTCCCCTCCGGAGTCCCTGGAATAATCAACACGGTTGTATCCAATCCGCTCTCCTCCTCCAAGTCCAAATTCGCCGGCCAATCCAGGGACACGACCCCACCATCCTCTGTGTTCACACAAACCCTCTGATATACAAATTTCTCATCAAATTCACGATCATTCTCCACTTCATTAAGAATTATCCCACGGTTCAATCTCACGAAATGTCTGTCCTCATTAAGAAGCTTTTCGTTAACATTTTCAAGCAATTCACTCCCTTGAAAATAAATTGAAGGGCAGCGTAGTGTTACAAACCGATTAAACGGTGTCGGGCTGGTAAATAAAATCCATTCCCCAATATCTTTATCAAAATTCTTCGTACCAGATAACAATTTTTGGGATTTTGAGAAGAAAAAGAGGGTGAGGCCGGAGACCAGGCCGAGGGTAGGAGCCATGTAGTCGAGGGTATTTACAGAATAGAACTGTGTGAGCAAGCTTTGAAAGAGGGTATCAAAGGGGGAAGATGAGGGATTAAGCTGATTGTGAACAGCCAGGTGTTTGATACGGCGGCGTTTCCATGCCAGGTGACGGTGGCCGGACGGAAGACTGCGTTTGTATATAGATAAAGTTACAAATGGAAATTGAGTACATGGGAATGCGAAACTCATTCTGGCGGCAGGCGGTGGCAGAGGGAAGATGAGTTGATAAGGGGAATATGAAGGGTCGAGATCAGAGGGGGGTTGCGGTGGAGAATTTTCGAGAGGGTGGAGGGGTGGGGCTTCCCCAATGCATTAGTGGTTCCTTTTGACAGTTGATAGGGACCTGTTGGTAAATAGATTTTGAGGTCACTAAACTTTGAGAAATAATTCGACTGAATCAATTAAATTTAATTTATCTCGATTAGATCATTAAACTTTAATTTAGTTTCAAATTGAGCTAAGACATTATTTTAATTTCAAATTTCATCACTTTGCCACCTTTTCTCTCTCAAATTGATGAAAATGTTGCTAATACAATATATCTTCAATTTAATCACTTCATTACATTACATGAATATGTCGGTGTATATAATAATTGAAAGAAAAATTTCATTAATCAAATGGTGTAATTAATATACATAATTCTATTATAAAGATTTTTTTTTCTTTTGTTACTAGATGAACATTGTTGTTATCTTAGAAGAGTATTCAATTAGGACTTAAAAAAAAAAAAAAAAAAATTGAAATTTAAAAAGTTTATGGGTATTTGTCGAGACTCTCTTTTTAAAGGTCGAGGTGTATTCAATCGAGAAAGTTTCTAAAAGTCACGGTGTCTTCAATTAAAATTTTTTAGAAGTATCTATAAGTTTTAAAGTATTCAAATTGTTAAAGACCCTTATAAAAGTCAACATGTTACTAATTTTTAGGCAGAAAGTACTATAATAAAATTTCAAATTTTGTCTTTCATTCATTTCAAGATTTTGGAAGATTTTCACAAAAAATATTAATATGTAGTTTCTGTTTCTTTCAATATTTATATTTCTTTTTTCCTTGTATGAACATTAGAATCATAAATGAAAATCATTTTTCCATTGATTACGTATATCTTATTTTTTTATCTCTATTTTCTATGAAAAAAATAAATTGTAACTTGATGAGTGTATTTCACTCATACTTTAGACATGATCTAAATTTGATATTTAACTAATTTCTACGAGTTTTAGAGCATTTTAATATGTGTTTTGATGTTATAATATATGTTGATTAAATTGAAGGAAATAAACAAAAGTTGGCAAAGTTGAAGAAGATGGCTAAATTGTAAGAGGTCCAAAGTTCGGGGACTAAAGTGTAAATATTTAAAAGTTGTGTCGAACCTCACAATGAAGATTAGAGAGTGCTAGAAGTCAATTGGATGAAAAAAGAAGTCAAATTGATAAAATATAGGCAAAATATGATCACACATCAATTTCCAACCGAAAAAGTTATGCTCCGAATTTTCAGTCTCATATTGAGACTCATGTTTGACATAGAAAACGTTCGAATTAGAAAATTATATTTGAAGCAAAGTTCTATTGAGTTATCTTTCCAACGCATCTTGAATCGCCTCAATTGGACATCGAGAGAAAATTTTATGATAAAAATACTGAAAGATACACAATGCTGAATTTCCATCCGAAATTGGGCGCTTCAGCGCCACCGTTGCTGAAATTCCCTCTTGCGCCTTGAACCGTTCTCCCCCTAGAACCAAGGCGCCCCTGGGCGAGAAAAAAGGTTTTGATTTTTTTTTTTTTACTCTTTTCTTGGACCAACATTTCCAAGACTTCAAAAGACTATAAATACAACCCTTAAAACATAATTATATGGGGAGAACAGTTCAAGAAACAAGGGGGAATTCAACACAATTTTTCAAGAAGGCGAGAGAAAATGTCAAGAGATTCAAGAAGAAAACAAAAAAGAAAAAGAAAAGAAATTGAAGATCTACATCCTAATTTTTCTATTCTCTTCCCCATGTCTTTTTACATGAATTTTAGTATTTTCATAGATTACATCATGAGCTAAATTTATTATTTAGGGTTTGATTGCAAGCAAAACTTGAGAATATGGATTGGTTAATTTTAGTTATTTCTATTAGATTTTCCTCATGTGTTTATTTGTGTTATGATTTTAATGTTTTCAATTAATTGACCACTAATTGAATGATTTGATACTAGTCAATTTCGGTACTCAATATATGGAAGTTTAGGCGTGATCATAAGAATAACACACTCTAGGAAATTATAGGATTCGAGACAAAGTATGATTCATTTGAAGCATGATCCATTTAAGAATCACGAACTTGATAAATTCTATATTTTAACTCAGAATAAAGATATTAGAATTGAAATATAGAATAGTTTTTACTCGACACTCGAGAGAGGGAGTAAAATTATGTTAGTATTCTTGCTTATAAACTTTGGAAAATTGATTAATTATATAATTGAGAATCATACTTGATAGTTAGGTGAAATCATAACTCTAGGATTTTTCACTTGATTATTCTTCTAACTTGCAAATATTTATTGAATTTGTCACCATATTAGTTTAAAAACATTGATTATAAAATTCATTCATCGAAATAAAGGTTATATAATTATAGTATATAGTAGAAATATGAATTACAATCACTGTGGGTACAACATTCTAACTCAATAATTATATTACAAAACATAACACCGTATACTTACGGTATAAATTATTGTGGGTTCAACATTCTAACTCCATTATTATATTACAAAACTTGACACCGTATACTTACGGTATAAATTACATTATAGAAAATGAATGACAAGTTTTTGGCGCCATTTACGGGGATTGTTTTATTTGATTTTTACTAATATTATTACCAACTAGCCTTTATTTTAATATAGATTTTCTTTGATTTTGTTAATTTTGGCTAGCAACCCTGATCTATTTGGTAATTTTTCAAGTACTATTAAATAGTATATGCATGATTCTAACAATTGTAAGAGAGTAGAACAATTGCAATAAGTAATCTCGACATGGATAAAAACAACATGCTTGTAGAAAATATCTTTTGTCAGCTTTGCTATGGGATGCATTATACTGAGCACTGTTTGTATTGAGATTGGAGTTACTGGAATGAATTTAAAAGGTGGAAATACAATCCACTTGAAAGAGTTGAAAAGAAATACTTCTCGTTGCCCGTGAATTTAGAATGCGGATCGATCGATCAATCTGAAGAAATTTCAACAATCCTAGAGGAGCTTAAAGTGAATGACAACTTGATCACAAAAGAATCGAATGAAGAAGTAGAAATCAATGAAGATGAAAGCAATGTACATTCGTCCAAATTCATTGATTGTATAGAAATTGATTTTGTGATTAAGTCCGATAAAGAAGTTGAAGTTTACGTTGTTGAGTTTGAATTGGAAGGAATGAAAAAATTCTATTACATTGAAAACGACAATGTCGAAGTTTGGAAAAATAATGAAGAGTGGAAAAAAAAATCAAAAGAAGTAAAATAAGCAAGGCATCAAAAGATTTTTCAAAGTTCTATAATTCAGATTGCCAACGTCAAGCTAATGACGTTAAATGAGCGCCTTTTGAGAAGTAACTCCAGCTTTCTTCCCTTTTATTTATTTTGTTTTCGAGTTATAGAATAGTTTAGTTTATTTTACAGATTTTTTATGAATCATTATCCATATTTCGTCTTCCTCTAGGTCATTGAGTAAGTTGGTATGACCTAAGTAACCTCTATTCCATATATTTAATATCTAAAATTTGATTTTTAGGGAAATGACGTCGTGAAACACTCAAACCAACATTGACAAGGAGAAAATGGGATAAATCTCAAGTAAGGAAGAGAACGGTTCAAGATACAAGGGGGATTCAACACAATTCTTCAAGAAGTAAGGGGGAAAAACATCAAGAGATTTAAGAACAAGACAAAGAAGAACAAGAGAAGAAATTGAAGATCTACATCATAATTTTTCTATTCTCTTTCCCATGTCTTTTTACATGAATTTTAGTATTTTTTTTATAGATTGCATTATGAGCTAAATTCATTATCTGGGGTTTGATTGTAGCCAAAAACTGAAGAATGTGGATTGATTAATTTTAGTTATTTCTAATAGATTTTTCACACGTAATTATTTGTGTTATGATTTTAATACTTTCAATTAATTGATCACTAGTTGAATGATTAGATGCTAGTCAATTTCGACACTCGAAATCTATTAGATTTTTCGCATGTGTTTACTTATATTATGATTTTAATACTTTCAATTAATTTGCTACTAATTGAATGATTTGATACTGTCAATTCTGACAATTGAGATAGGGGAGTTTATGCGTGATTATAAGAATAAAACAACTTAGGAAATTATATGTTTCAAGTGAGTATAATTCTTTTGAAGCATGTTTCATTTAAGAACCATGAACTTGATAAATTCTATATTTTAATTCAGAATAGAGATATTGGAATTGTAATATAGGAATAATTTTTACTCGATACGAGAGAGAGAGAGAGAGAGAGAGAGAGAGAGAGAGTAAAATTACGTTAGGGTTCTTGTTTATAAACTTTGAAAAATTAATTAGAAATAATTATATAATTGAGAATCATATTTGATAGTTAGGTGAAATCATAACTCTAGACTTTCTCACTTGAATATTCTTCTAGCCTACTTAGTAAAAATTTGAATTACAATACATGTGAAATCAACACTCTAATCCTATTATTATATTATAAAACTTGACACCGTAAACTTGCGGTATAAATCACGTTATAGAAAACGTGTGACATAACTAAAGATTCTTATTTTTTTTTCTTTTTTCATCATACTTTATGAAACATATCTATTTGTAATTAAAAATTATAAGATTATATATATATAAAAAATACTAATTTATAATTATAAATTTCAATATATTGATTTCTTATTTACTCTTAAAGGTACGTCATAATAATAATACTGAATATTAGTATTTTTTTTTTATTTTTTATGAAAGTATAATGTAACATAAATAAATTTTTATTCTTTTAAAATTATGTTTTATTAGACGGGGCGGTAAAATGGAATTGTGGGAACCACCACGTCGTATATAAGAAATTTACAGTGTTGCTCTAGATCCATATGAATTCTATTTTAAATGAAAGTTTTCAAAAGTCTTTTGAATTTTACAAAAGTTTA